CCCCCCCCCCCCCCCCATCTCTCCCCATTCAATAGTATTCATAGTGGCAACCCCCCTATACAATGTATTGTGACCTAGAAAGGGAGAGCTGGTTTGCAGAGATTTTGTTACAGTGACTCACAGGGAGGGGGGGTTAAATGCTTTATAATCCAACCCCAGTGTCAGACTGAGTTTCCTGTGGAGAACATTTTCAATTTGAAGGACTCAGGCCTACTAAAAAAGTCCATAAAAAAATAAAGAAAGCCAGCAATAGGAGTCATGAAAATATGCACACATATACTGCACATCATCACTGCACCTCTACATTAACACAATAAATAGTAATCACTTACAAAGGTGAGAATGGGCTTTTAAGGTCCAAAAGTTAGGAAAGATAGAAAGTATACTATTGTGCTTTACAGTGTTACATGTAAACTATTAAAGCAACCTTTCTCAACCTTTTTACCTCAGAGGGGCCCTTAAAATAACTTTTAGGTCTTGGGTAAGCCCTGATAAAAATGATTATACCTACAGTATACCTCATGGAGCCTTAGCATGATTAACAAGCTGTAAAATGTTTTAAATGCAACAATAATTAACCGTTTATCTCATAAGTCGGTGGCTGTGTTGTGGCTGTGATGTAAAGTAGCCACTGCTCCAAACTCTTTGCTATGATGGACTACAATCTCACGGTTAGTTTACTAATTTGTATTGAGATTGTAGTCCATTATGGAAGCAAGTTAGGAGCGGTGGATACTTAACACACACAGGGACAATTCCCTCCAGAAGGAAGGACAGTGTCAGCATGAATTTAGTGATGATTTGAGAATCTACAGCGATAGTGGTACACAAATAGAGATAGTTACGGTACTTGAATGCATTTTTAAGCTTGAGCTCTTGAGTTTAGTGTCACTTTAATGTAGAATACCTAGCATATTTGCACTCAAACCAACTGTGTACAGAACACCTGCAGGTCGCCATATTGCATTGAATGTTTTTGACAAATTTAGAACATTATAGCAGCTACAGTTTTAAATGAAAAGGTAATTTTTAATAATAACATTAAATAAAAAAAATGGCCCGTGCTTAAATTAATGTTCCTGTTTTTCTCTATTCCTGCCTTCTCGCTCCCCCCCTTCTTTTTTTTTTCCTTTGTTGCAACTGAGTTACATCTATTTTGTTGCAATATAGCCAAAAAGGTTTTTCGGCCTATACTTTGGATACCAAGTAATGCAGCAATTTATACACTTGTGCCACTAGAATGCATATTGTAACCTTACTTTCTCGTGATACTTTTACTATATTCAGCAACTCAGCCAATGTTTGTTACATTTTTGTTTATTATGTGATAATATAAATATTAAAAAGAAAAGGAAAAATATGGCCTGTGCAACAATTATATATGCTATATTGATTTCTTTTTAGATTTGTTTTCAGTTTTATTTTTTTAAAGTGAAGTTAAACTTTAAATCACATGGAGTCACAGGAGGTTGTACAGGAGGAGCCACATGAGAGACACCCTCAACAAAGGTCTTGACCAACAAATATGTGGCTAGTGGTCTTTGGAACACAATTTCCAATCACTGAGATTTGTCACTTTGTGGTACTCAGGGCCAAATGTTTATCCAAGCCTGTTTGCAAAAGGTTAGGATTCGTCCAACAGAGTATTTCCTGGGCTGATTTTTCCTTGCTTTGCAAAAAGCAAAGCCTTCGAAGTGCAATAATAGACTTTGCAGGGTGCAGCCTTCCTAACTTTTACCAGCATGAAAATGACCAAATTGGAGAGGCTGTTAAAGTCAGCAACTGTGAAGCAGGGTGCCAGTCCTTGGAATAGAAGATCAGGTTGATCTGGGAGTCCCCCACCTGTGACATAGGTCCTTAAACACGTCTGGGTGTAGGGAGCACTCCGCAGAGCTGACTGAATCAACAAAAATAGCTCTACAAAAAAAAATTACTAGTACAAATGGTAAACTTTTCTCAACAGAAAAAAGATGTCCATTCTCCTAGAACACCAGCAACAGACTGAAACATAGGGGTCTATTCACCAAGCTGCCGAGTCCGCTCAGCCATGATCGGGAGCTGTACGGGCTATTGTGAATGGCCCGTACAGCACCCCTTCGGTTCTACTGAACCGAAGGGGCCCTGGGGCCGAAGCTAGCCGAGGGATCGGCCGAAGCTACGGCCAGATCCTTCGGCAGCTTCGTGAATAGACCCCATAGGATTGGTTAAACCTGCCTGGCAAACAGCTGTTTTTGTTTGCCTGTGTCCAATTCCTCCTGTAGACAGCAGTAACCATTTGTTTGTTTATAAATAACTGATTCCCGTGTCCCTTAATATATGAATAAGTCTTCATCTGAAAACTTGTCCCAAAATTGTCATTCAAATTACTCAAGGCAGAAGCTCTATATAACAGTCAGGTATTTAGAAAAGGAAAGATCAACAATGGCAGCCTCTATGCTTCTCCCATAACTGAATTCCAGATTTAAACCCCTTATTATGGCCATTTTGTTCTACCCCTTTACCAAGCTAATAACCACACCCATGATAACCACATTTCACATCCATCACTGCCACAGCTTGAATATGCCATCGGTGTGCTTACTGTAATGTGTTTCAAGGATTCAGATTCAGCTTTCAGCAGAAAACCCATTTAACACAAATACAGGGTATGGTGATATGCTATACTTACTTTTCTCTATTGAAAACCATGAAATCTCTCTCCACATTGTCCAAATGCATCTGCAAGTTCCCATTCTTTTGTAGTTTACAAGGATGAAAAAAAAAATAATCAAGGCAAAGAAATACATTTTAGATATCAAGACAGTAGATCATTGACATCTTAAGGTAAGTGCATGTTAAGTGCGCTATCCCACTGCTGGCCCCAACTCCCTGTTGTGATTATTTAGAGTCACAGCACAGCATCACAACCTTCCCAATCCTGCACAGCACCCCTTCCACATGTATGGCTCAAACTCCACTGATTTTAATGGAATGTCTGTCAACCTTGGAGTAGCAATGTTTTAGGTAAGTACATCCTATTGCAAATACAAGGAGGGAAGTGGTAATGGTGGATAGTACACTAAAGCTGCCCGTACCCCTTACAACCACCGCACGACTTTCGTTGTGCGATGGTTGTACGGTGATTAAAATGTTGTACGATCTGCCCATCCTGTACAGGCAGATCGTACTTGCGATCATCGCAAGCCCTCTCCGCTGAGGGGAGGGCTTCCGATGATTGCAGTGCTGAGCGGGCAGTGTGCACTTGCACACACCGGCCCGTGCGGCATTCGTCTCCCGACCACGCCACCAACCACGGCAAGCGTGCTCGGAAGACGAATGTCGCGCAACCTTACAGTAGAAGAGGTTGCATGCTGCCCATACACCTGCCGATTATCATACAATGGCGGGATCACCGCGATTATCGTACGATAATCGGCAGGTGTATGGGCACCTTTATCCTTTTAGTTTTGGTTGGGCACAGCTGGGTAGGATTACCAATTGTCTACTTATATATTAGTGATACACCAATAGTGACATTTTAAAACAACAGTTTGTGTCCACCCATTTCTAAAACGCAAAGTGTCTCTTGCAGCTGTACCGCACAATCATCTGTTTATTTTACATCAGGAACACAAATAATAATATATACAATATAATAAAACATTTTCTATTTATATAAAAGCGGACCCTGCACTAATATGCAAGGTCCACAAAAGTGGTCCCCCACGTTGACAAAACAATGCATTATGGAAACTTTACAGGAGCATGTTCAGGATTTGACATCCGCAACTTGCGCAGAAACCCGAAAGAAGACCCACTGATGTCACCGCACGTAGGTGAACCCCCTAGAAGCCTGGGAATAAGGTAAAAGTCTTTTTTTATGATTTTTCCCCCAAACTGCTTGTTTAATTTCTGTAATGCAGTGTTTTGACAGCAGGGGGTAGGGGACAATTACTTAAAGTGACATTAAACCCTCAGATTTTTTAACATAAACAATACTGTAATGTGTGCCTTACTGTAATCCATGGTAGTTTCCCTTCTCTTTGCTGCTCTGCCTTTTAAATCTGTATCTCTTCTCATGCTGGGCAGAACTTCTGTTTTGCAGCAGACTGCCTTGTCTCTGAAATGGATACACGGTGTCTGTGTGTAGGTTCACAACCTGAGCCAGCACTACAGGAAGAGGCACTCAGCTCCAAAGGGAAGTTCTCTCCAAGCATGAGAAGAGAGAGGATTTAAAAGGAAGAGTAGCAAAGAGAAGGGAAACTACCATGGATTACAGTAAGGCACACATTACAGTATTGGTTTATGTAAAAAAAATCTGAGGGATTAATGTCACTTTAAGTGGACCTTGCATTTTACGGCAAAGTCTACTTTACAAAGCAGAAGACTGCTGTTTGGCTAATTCATGCTGAACATTTGCAGAGTAATTAATGTTTTGCTTATCAGACAGCATTAAAAGCCACTTAAGTTAAGTGTCTGCCATATCTATCGCCAGGATTTTAAACATTCTCAATAAGATTAGGAAATGTTATTCATCAAAGTCTGCATCCCGGAACTGGTCCTTCAAGCGCTTGGCAGAGTACCATGAATTTCTTTAAAAGCCACAAGTTACAACAAAAATGCTAAATCTTCATCAATGCTTTAATTATTGCTGGCATTATTTGTTTATTTTTCCCCACTGCATCTAGAACTGATTGGACCCCAGTTTTCCTGACAAAACAATGAAAATCAATAAAGCGTTAATGCCGTCCTAAGCCACAACTAACACATCACGGCTGGCAGTACTTCAGTTCAATATGAGTTTTATTGTCAGTTTTAGCCACAGCCACTAGTGAAGTCTGCAAAATGTATGAGCATGATGAACAAGCTTTGCTTCTAATGGATGGTATAGCTGTTACATTTGCAAAATGTATATAGGAAATTATAAATCATTTCTGAGTTGCAAAAGTCTTTGAACGATTAATCCTTTTGCCTTGTTTCAGATGGGCTCAGTTCACACCACCGTGTTGCAGGTGGCATGTAGTACTTTCTTCAGCGCAGCAGGGTGCGAAGTGGACCAACAGCCTTGCACTTCACTGTACCCATAGAGCTTAATGAAATGTCACTTGTTGACATTTCATTAATGTGCTAAAAAAAAAGTAAACAGTGTGACCGGCCTTACACTGCTTGCATTTAAAAAAAAACCACATTTAATGATGCAGTAATGATAATAGAGTTGTCTATTAGAGCCCATTACCACTAGCAGCTGCACTACAAATCATGGATGCTGGTGTGTGTTGCCTGGCATAGCGCTAATGCCCCAGCACTATGCCAGGCAACATACACCAGCAGCCGTGCTTTGTAGTGCAGCTCCTGGTGGTAATGGGCTCTAATAGACAACTCTATTATCATTAATGCATCATTAAATGTATTTTTTTTTTAAATGCAAGCAGTGTAAGTAACTGAATTTGACTTGATATCAGCGTCTTGCAGTCCCTGCACAGCAAAGTTTAGAGATGGGAGGGATACGCTGCACAAGGAGCCAATCAAGTGGGCAGCAGTGCAAGGAACATGCTGACAGGAGGGAACAGCAGGTTGACAAAACAGCTCATCAATGTAAGTGAAAGTGTTAATGCAGCAGACAAGGATCAGGTCCTCTCCCCTTTCCAGCAGGAATGTACTATGTGGCAGAGTTGTGTAAAACCTCAGGACTGGAATGTAGAAAAATAAGAATCCTTTGGCAGGTAAAACAGCTCCTTTTTTAATAAAACAGTATTTATTTAGCTGTTTGCCTAATGTCTAACTTTAATCCCCTCTACTTGCCACTAATCTATACATGCCATCTACTGATGCTGTTCATGGTACCTCTCGTCTACAAGCGCCCACTTTATATAATGTTAGCCATTCATCCGATATCAATGTTCTAAAACAAAAGTAAGACAGAACAACTAGACAAATGGCTGTGTATATACAGACATGGACATATTTGTTGGGACCCACAGTTTTCTCTAAAATAATTACAGTTCAAACTGACAAATGTAATGGACATCCATCACTCTTTATATCGATTCATTAAAAAAATCTGACTTTGCTTTTCATTCAACAGAATATTTCAAATGATAAATGTAAATGACATGGACAAAAATTATAAGATTCTTAACCTAATATTTTGTTGCACAGCTTTCTCAATGAGACTTCTGCACTCGCCCACAGGTAGTTCGGACCACTTTTCTTGAGCACACTGATTCAGCTGTTTCAGGTTTGAAGGCTGCCTTGTTTCAAGTCTTTTCATATCTTCATAGGATTCAGATCTAGGTCAGACAGATCTAATAGACACCTCAGAATTGAATCCAATATTTTGTTACCATTCTTGGGTGCCTGTAAATGTGTGTTTTGGGTCGATCTCCTGTTCAAAGATACATGTTCTGTGACTGAGATAGAGCTTTCTGACACTGGGCAGTACATTTCACTCCAGAATTCCTTCATAGTCTTGAGAGTCAAGACACCCTGTGCTAGACACAGCAAAGCACCCACCAAAAATGGCTGAGTCTCCTCCTTGTTTCACAGTAGGTACTTTTTTTCATCTGTGAACATAAAGATCATTTGACTTACCAAAAAGCTCCAGTATTGAGTCTGATCTGATATCAATAGCCATTTTAGCAAACTACAGTCTGGGTTTCATGTTTTTCTTTCAAGGGGAGTCTTTTGCGCCCACTGCCATTTAAAAAGTGAGAGATGGTCCAATCAGACACCGATGTACCTTGACATTGGAATTCAGCTTGTATCTCTTTCAAAGTTTTCCTTGGCTCTTTCTCTACCATTCACACTATTCTACTGCTTAATCTGGGGTCAATTTTACTCTTGCAGCCACACCCAAGAAGATTGGCCTCACTTTCATGGGTCTTAAACTACTTAATAATATTTGCAACTGTAGTCACAGGGACATCAAACTGTGTGGAGATGATCTTATAGTCTTTGCCTTTGACATGATGGTCTATAATTTTCTTTCTGATCTCCTCAAACTCTCTCTTTTGTTTTTCTGTTCCATGTTCAGTGTGGTGTACACGTTGATACCAAACAGTAGAATTACTACTTTTCTCCATTTAGATAGGCTAACTTACTGATTACATGATTGAAGACTTGCGATACAAATAACACATAGCATACATATACATGAGACAACAGATTGTAATTCCATCACTTTTCAAGAGCAATGAAGCATTGTTTCAAGGGTACAAACAAATGTGTCCACGACTGTATAATCTGTGGTGTTGTGCTTGGCCCCACCCCTGTGACCTGATTATCCTGTTGGTTAATGAGCCATGCATCTCTAGGACAAACGATAGGCGGACCATAGTGCAAAGTGTGGTGTCTGAAGGTTGTAGCAGCAGACCTGGGCATTGTCATGTAGGGCAGTATGCTTATGCAAAGAGCAGCTTTGAGAAAGTCACTAACTGAATATCTGCTTAGAGAGGCTTTATACAGCACTCATGTAGGAGGTTTAGCCACAAGAGCTATTGTGTTACCAACTTCTGCTGTCAACAATCTGCTGATAATGTTAATTTCATAAGGATAGTTTAACCACAGGTTCATTTTAGTTTCAGACCTATAGACAAATATATTTTATGCTACAGTGCAAATGCATTTCTTACCTGGGCAAAAGGGCTTTTCGCATTATCTTTCAATCTCTTGGCTAGTCTCTTTTTCTTCTTGTGTAAAGGTTTGGATTCTAGAATCATTTCTTCAAGTTCAAAGGTTGGGTCACAATTAAGCCGTCCCTTCTGTATTTTTAAAAATACATAGTTAAAAACAGCAAAAAAACCCCATAGTAAACAGGGAAATATTTTGCACATTTAATATTACAATATACGCTGGTATCTATAACCAATAAGACACAAACATTACGAAACATGTGCTCTTCTTTAAAAAAGGCTCAGGATCCTTTTTTGAAACTTATAGGAAGTCAGACAAAAAAATGTCACACATGTAGCACTTAGTTATACAGTTTTTACCAGTAAAAGAGAGGTGATATTAGGCAGATTGCTGATCAGGCATCTGAAGGTAAAGTTTATATTTACACAGAGTTTTCACAGCTGCTGTGTAGGTAATTCCTAAGAGCTGTGATAGGAGAGGGGGAGCGATAGAAAGCTAACAATAGTACATACGCACACATATTGTAAGAAAGGTTAGCAAGATGAATGGCATGAATCACTTTAATTATAGCGGCATTTATGCAAAAAGGGTTAGAGCATCTGAACTCCTAACCACTATGTTTGATGCCATATATGTTTCAATAATTGATCCTGAGGACTTTATTTCCATAAGTGCAAGCAATTGTCTCCTAAATGTGAGTGCTTCATGGGACTAGCATGCCCAAGATCACTACACAAAGTGTAAGTCTACAACAGGGGCTGGTATCCTTCACAAAGAGAGTTTATATAGATTTTATAAATGACAAATCAGTTGAATATTCCAGCAAATGGTAATGTCGGGCAGTTCCTACAAATCTGATAAATATTTTTATGGCCCCACACATCCTTAAATCCCAGGCTGCACATCTGAAGTAATTGAAGACCATATGCAGGAAATAAAAGCACTGGACCTGCAGCATTAATCCTATTGGTGTGGCTGACAAATTATGATGTGAAAGAGTCGATGTAGGTGATCTAACTACCAGAGGATTTCCACTGTCTTCTTGGTTTGTAGTATCAAATTGCAGGATTGTGAATTGAAGCTCCACACTGTGTTTAATAGTCCCAATGCAACTTTATTCAATGTGGGGTTCAATGTGGGCAGTATAGAAATAGCTGTACTATACGGTCACCTCAACCCCACATTGAAGACACTACAGAGATAGCTGAACTATTAACCCTTTCCCTGTCAATGCTGTTTTTGTGTTTTTTGCACATGTAGTCCACATCTCTGTCGCATGCAGACCGCATAGCTGTTCCTGGCAGTGCCGGCACTCAGTTTCTTTCGGCCGGCGCTCTGATAACCTTAACTGGCATTCACTACACCCATGATTCCAATCACAGGACCCCAGGAGGGGCAGCGGAGCATGGGAAGCAAGGCGGGGGTTCACATTCCAGTGTTTGGGGCCACAAGTGGTCACTCTATATCTAATACATGTAATCAGGTAACCCTTCAGAGTCGCTTATCTGTAATTCTTACCGTTGGTGTAAACTCTGGTATAACTTTTTTTTCTAGAACTGCATCCCAGTTAACATCCGACAAACAAGGAAACTTCTGAATATCTTCAAGACATGAAAAACGCTCTCCTGGATTCCTATCCAAAAGCTACAGTACAAATGCAGATTTTATTTAATTAGTCATGTATATTTTTCTTTGGGAAATAAAGTTATATGATTCACAAATATCTGAATATGATTGAGCCTGACATTAATTGGCATTTTCATACTCATACCTAGCAGCTGCAGTGTGTTATTCTGGTCTCTGAGATGATTTATAATGGGTGTTAAAGGAGCCCCTTCCAAGTGATCTATTTAAATTTGCAACAATACAAAGATTTCATAGGAAATGGATGAGAATTGTAATAGTAATTTTTAGACCTGTACTTGTTTAGAATTAACAGATGCTGGAGAAATGAATGCGCTTTGCATCACTATATCATGTATACCAAGAACTAAATCAATATCTAGATTCACCAACTTATCAGAACCAAGTTTTGCCAGGCCTGGTGAGATGTTGTTGGCTTGACTTTGGTACTGTTTACAGATATTTTCCAGGAATTTTCTTTCTTTTGTCTAGAAGACCTTCTATCAGCCATCTGGCATGTCTCTTAAGTAGGGTTGCACAGATACCAAGTACAGTACTCGGTACAAGTACAAGTACATGTACCGATACTTTTGAGCTCCAAGACTACACTAGAGAAACATTCAAATATTAGGAGGCAGCTGTCATTTGTAAGGAGCACACAGAGCTTCTGGGATTTGTACATCTCTGTTTTAATGTACGATTTTGATTTTATAAATATAAATAAAGGGATGCACAGATACCAGTTTTGCGAGTACGAGTACTGGTACTTGCCGAGTACTTACAAGTACGAGTACTGATACATTTTTGTTTATTGTCATGTGAAAAATAATACAGACTAATGATTTCAGGACAGTGGAGGAGTGCCAGAGCCGGGTCCCAGCTGCAACCCTGGTAGTTCTCATGAAAATGCCAAGTATCTGCACTGGTACTCGAAAAGTATCTGTGCATCCCTACTCTTAAGTATATATTTAACTGCCCAGTACGAACACCAGATAAGGATCAGCATGCCACATGGCCCACTATGCATTGTGCACATTATACAATAGCAATTGCTGTGACATTTTATCACTGTAAGAGATAAAACACAGGCTAACATATCAAGCATATATCACTGACATACTGAGCACTAAAAGTGGAATAAACACCATAGCTTTGCTTAGTGAATTAAAAACTTAAAAGGAAAGTTCAGTTCAGAAAATAAATGCACATATCTTCATAAAAGAAAAAATGTGCATTTATTATTTTTTTACATAGAAGCCAGTTGCCATTGCAACCAAGGTGAGTAGATCGCAGGTGCAATGCTCTGACTCCTGCAGACACTTCCTCCCCTTATGCCTATACTGAGGTAGTAAGATGGACAGGAGGCAGAGTTAATGAACTAGAAGTGCAGTGGCGTCACCACGCTTCTATTCCTTTGCAACCACAAGCCCTTCTGCCCCTCTGCCACAATGGCAGACAGGACTTGTAGTTCCTCCATCCTGTGGATGGATGACACGCCTGTGTGAGCAGAGCAATGCACAACCGTGCAATTTTCAAAAACAAACAGCGGCCGGTGGGGAGAAGAACCCCGTGATTCAGGTAAATGGGGGGAGGAGTTTGCAATCTAACCATGTTTCATGTTACACCATAAATATGAACCTTGGGCAATTTATTTTTTGCGTCAGAAGCCTCAATTCACAAAGTCGTTTTTATTTTTAATACCACACCTTATGTTGCTCACATTACGTTAAGGTTCGGTTTACAAATGTGCATAACAGGCTTAATTACTCTGCTCTATAAGAAAACTGCGTTTTACCAATACTAGTTCTTGTGAACCACTGCCAGCTTTATTTTAATGGCTGTTATGATAAAATCTATGTAAAATCAATTCACAAAGATTACCAAATAGGTTATTACATCTAACAATAACATGAGCTTCAGACTTGTGGTTACTGTGAGTTTAAATAGGTGTCAACTGAGAAAAGCTGTTATATATAATGATATAAAATAACATGCTGTCCCAATTCACAAAGCTTTAACTTAATGATAAGGATCTTTATTTTCATCCATGTGAGTCTAACTTTCAAATCTTGTGGGTGCTCTGATCTGATCTGATGTGAAATATTTGGCTATAGCAGGAGGCAGTTTGTTTGCGGAAGGGCTGGAGAGAGGAACAATAATGAGCGTCTGCAGCAAAAGTGACGCATGGTGGAGGTTCCTTGCAAGTCTGGGATTGCTTTTCTGCCAATGGAGTTGGAGGTTTGGTCAGGATCAATGGTGTCCTCAATGCTGAGACATACAAGCAAATACTTATCCATCATGCCATACCATTAGGGAGGTGTGTGATTGGCCCTAAAATTGTTCTGCAGCAGGACAACCACCCCAAACATACAGCCAATTTCATTAGGAACTATCTTCAGTGTAAAGAAGAACAAGGATTCCTGGAAGTGATGGTTTGGCCCCCACCGAGCCCTGATCTCAACATCATGGAGTCTGTCTGGGATTACATGAAGAGATGGAAGGATTTGAGGCAGCCTACATCTACAGAAGATCTGTAGTTAGTTCTCCAAGATGTTTGAAACAACCTACCTGCCGAGTTCCTTCAAAAACTGTGTGCAAGTGTACCTAGCAGAATTGATGCTGCTTTGAAGCCAAAGGATGGTCACACCAAGTAATTAATTACTTACAGCATTTTTCACAACGGTCTAAAACTTTTTGCACAGTAGTGTGTGTGTGTGTGTGTGTGTGTGTATATATATATACATACACAGAGTTCTGAAGCCAGCAAAGTAGTAGGCACTTCGGTGAAACACATTGCCGTGCTTTATAAATGTGCTTTTTTTTAGCAGCAGTATGGTTGTTTTAAAGATGTGAGAATAGTATTAAACCAAGCAGTGGGACTAGCCCTGCATTGCAAGGGTTAACTGCTCATTTTTGTCTAGGGACTAAATAAAAAAACCTATACTAACCCAAAGTTTGGAGCTGGCCGGCTGTCACAATGCTCTTTCCTGCCTCTCTCCTCCTACACTGCAGCAATAGCATGTTCCTTGGTGTTCTCACATCCTATACACTGTATAGAACATGATGATTCAAGGATCCTTAGACCACTGCAGAGGAGGGGGGAGACTCTGGATTGACCAGTATACTACAAGCTGGCTCAGAGGATTGGGTAAGTATAACTTGCATTTAACCCAATTCAAGGGTTGATAACATGTTTTCCCTGAGTTGTTCTTTAAGGCCATACCCCTTTATAAATGGACCCCTCAGTGTACTTTTTGTTGTGTATATTAGATCTTTATTTGTGCACTGTTACTTTAAATGTTTCATTTGACTTATTTTCCTTTCCTAAAATGAGGCAAATGATAGACTGTTTTTTGGAATCAGAATAAATCAAGAATGTTCAAAAAGATCTTTCATAACCCTCAGGAGCCATTTTAAGCCCGCTGCACCCATAAAGCACCAACAAAAACTGCCTAGATTTCACATTCTCGTTATGCTCCAATGCTTATTGTGAAGTTTTGCAGCAATCTCCAGGTTTCCAATGACATTTCATAGAAATTAACATGCTCATTCCTAGCAATGATGACTTTGAGACTTTTTATAGCTTTGACATTTGTATTGTTGATGCACCATATTTATGTATGTATTATGTATGTACTGGAAAGCGAAGAAATCACAAAGTCGGCAAAAGTTATTTTTGTCCAAGTTATGTCATTCCTCTTATAGCATATGGCACTATGGATCCAGCCATTAAAAGACTGAGCACCAGAAAATCAATGCTTTTAAATTGTGGTATTAAAGCAAAGTGTTGAGAGTTTCTCGGAGTAAAAAAAAGAACAAATCAGTAAATATCAAGAATATAAACAGCAGGGGACTCCCTGCTGAAAATTGTGATGCTAGGGAAGATGTAGACAAATAAAGGAAAGAAGACAACAGAGGCTGAGGTGCTTAGACTAAAGCGAGGGAAAGAAGTCTGGATGACTAAAGCAATACATTTGAGACTGCAGAAGCCTAAATTAACATTTGCTGACATAGAAGCCTGCTGTGCCCAAGTCTATGCGGTCATCAAGAACCGGACTGACTAAACACTAAGCAAGTGCTTAGGAAGTTTTTATTTAGATCTGCAACGGTGGCTTCTTCAATGGATTTAACCCATAATGCTGTATTTTTAGCAAGGACTGACTGACTGACTGCAAAATGTGTGTATATGGGGGGATGGCAGTAGGGCACTGTCATGTCACATGTGTTATCTGTGCTCTAAATTGTGCATTATTTCAAATAGATAAAATATAGTGGGATATAAGTGTAAAATCATTGGCATACTGCACACTGCATCATTGGCATAGTGTAAAATACTGCAGCAGGGAGCCTCAAAACAGAGGCAGTTGGCAAGTTTTAAACCACTGTTCTGAATTTGCCTGCATTTTATTCACTTCAAAGAAACACAGCTACAAAACAGGTCTGACTGAAGAGAAACTTGGTCTACCTGGTACTAAAGATGCGTTTGCAAATTAGCAAGGCATGTTCAATCCGCATGATCAGCTCCCATACTGTCACTGACTCAATTTCAAAAAAAA